GGGCACCATTTCATCCCAACTCAGCTTTTCATGGTATGCTTACCATAGCTTGTCAGCACTCACAGTTATCAACAGTATTTTTCTGAAAACCACACTAGTCCAACCATGGCTCACTAATTCCCAGCATCACCTTTCGAATCGTAGTTATTTGGGTGCATAGCAGGAAGTCACCACACGACGTCGCGCCACTTGCGCTTCAAATCTTTGCGCGAAACTGAGTGCAGCGCTTTCTACTTAACCGGACCATGGTATGCACGCAGCAGAAACATCTGCGCTGCAGGTGGCCACACTACTGAAATGTTACTATACATACGTTGGATATGCACACAAAAGTGATTCCATACGGGTAAAAACCCACCTTCTCTATAAAAAATTCCTTACAACCACAAGAAAATAAATTCACACTTTGTGTGTGAATGCCTATGACGACTACACATAGAGAATGTATAGGAGATAATGCGGATGCAAAGCTTGCCTAAGAGCCAAGTACAAGACATTTCAGAGCCAAGTGAGTTGGAGGGAAAGAGGACCACGCGGCGGCGTGACGCTCTGCTCAACTAGCGTTTTCTCAAGAGCGATGGCACTAAGCCTGAGCCCAGGAAGGAATGAGTAGGCAGTAAACAGTGACTTGTGATGTCGTGCAACCCACTTTTCGGCACACGGTTAGTAGCTTACAGGTCCTGGGATTCCTTCCTCTAATGTGGCTGTTCTCGAGCCTTAAGTTAGTATTACCACAGAAGGTCTCACAATAGTAAATGGTAGAACGGTAAACGAGATGAGATAAACTTCTCATTTATTCCTTCCTAGGCTCAAGCTTAACCCCACAGTGCTTGCAAGAGCGCTAGACGAGCAAAGCGCCGCGTTCCTTCCCCCCCAGGGTCAACCCTACGTTGTTACGAGTAACAACGGGGGGTCGTACTCAGTTGAGCTTGGAGGGGGGGTCGTACCCTCTCGGTGGCCGACAGTGGGATTCTTGGTAATATCGGATAATAGCCAGCACGTTACGTTTTCGTAAGATGACTGATACTAGCATCTATAAACCACGATTCCCTCTAAATGAGCTTTCAAATGAATCAGCGAATTAGAAGGGCGCCCGAGGCGTGGCGCGCACCAAGGCAAGGGATGTAGTGCAAGCGCATGCTCGAAGCTTTCTAGCACATCCTAATTAAACATAAAATTGGTCTTCCAAGAAGTTACGGGCAGTGAAACCTAAGAAAACTCGCGTTTTCGAGAAAATGGCTTGAAGAATACCCCTCAAAATAAAAAGTAACAACGGGACTAATTTTTGAACTGCTGATCTTTCAGGAACGCTTGGGTGCTCGTTAGAAAGCTTGAAACCTGTAGTTTATTATACCGTGTTCAGCTTCCCAAATGAATGACTTTGAAGGAAGTTATGATCGTTTGAAGGTCAAAAAAGTCGCGGTTCCAAAAAAATAGTAACGCAAACCCCCAAAAAAGTAACAACGGGACTAATTTTTGAACTACTGATCTTTCAGGAACGCTTGGGTGCTCGTTAGAAAGCTTGAATCCTGTAGTTTATTATACGTGTTCAGCTTCCCAAATGAATGACTTTGAAGGAAGTTATGATCGTTTGAAGGTCAAAAAGTCGCCTTTGCACAGAAAAAAGTAACAACGTACTAAATTTTTACTAAATTAACTTCGAAGAATTTTTACCCATGGTTGGAGAGAGAATAATTTGAATTTTCCAAATCAAATCACTTCGGCGCAGAAGCTCGAATATGAAGGAAGTTATAGCCTTAGAAAGAGGGGTGTAAAAATTGTGTTGCAATTGAAGAACGTGAAGGATTTCAGTATTTCAATTGGAGCGATAATTTTTTCTGACTTCTTATAAGTTTTTATCAGGTAATGTTGTCAATATTACGGTCACTGGTTCAGCTTATTTCATCTCCTAGTTTGGTAACCCTTTGGAGTACACGGATATCTTTGAATGCATCTCATTTTTTCGTGTTTGCAAGCAGCGATGAATTTCTGTCGTGGATTTTGCTAAAGTTTCATCTTTAATGACTTACGTAGAAATAAATATTGATGGTAAACACTGTCTCTACACAAGTGTTACATACAAAGGGGGGTCGTATCAAACCACCCCTGAAGGGGGGGGTCGTAAAAAATTTCCGAAGAGTAACAACGATAGGGTTGACCCTGCTGCACCCCCCCCCCCGCTCATCGGCTCATTGAACATCAACATTTCTTCCCCAGAGGAGTACCCTAGATAATTGGTGTAAGGATATTTTTGTGCCACAGTACATCTGCATGAATTTTGCCAGACGAACTGTTCGTCCGCTATTTTCTTCATCTCTACGAGCAACTTACTGTGCACCAGGAACATATACCTATGCCAGATTTGCGAGAAGAGAAAAGGGATACTACGCTGCAATTTGGGAAAACTGTTGATTTGCTCAGCCTCGTGAAACTCCTGTCCTTGTATGAATGCAATTCAAAATATATATAATAAAAGTCTAACAAAGAAAAGATCAAAGCAAGAGTAAAAAATGAAGCTAACACGAGGTACACCAGGCGGCGCTACTGAGTCACAGCTTTTCCTCAGATGCTGGAAACGTAAGCGGAAGAAACTTCACTCGAATAGTCATGAGCACTCCCCAAATATGTAACAATTTGTGGGCAATCGCGTACATCACACCCATCTGTACGGCAAAGAAGTGACGCGAATATCAATTGGGACATGCCGGGAAATAGCTTACGGCCCTAGACAGCCTAACGGAGAACGAAGAATCCCGGAGAAGAATTGCTCACGCACCTCTTCGGAATTCCCTCTACTCCACTGAGGATTATTCTACAACTGAGCGCTTCCGTAAATTCTGACGCAGTGTTACGGGCGGCCCTCACCTTGCGGAACCACACTGCGTCCTGGTGCGTAAGCAATTCTAACCCATTAGCTCCATTTCAACGGATCCCCCCATTCCCTAAACTTAGATGGCCTTAGCGACCCTATCATGCGAAGCCTTCTGTACCAGAACGGGACGACACAGCTCTTGTAAGTGAGTACACCACGGAGTAAGGAAGTCGATACACGAACGGTAAATGAACGCAGAAATTGGAAAACTCCTAGATGTGGATTTTTAAGAACGAGTTCGAGGTGAACTCGCAGCATGCCACGCAAGACGGCAGAACCGGTAAACACCGGTAAACCCAACACGATGGCATAGCCCACTCGGGCTAGACTGACGTGTGAAGACTTCTGTGAAATCGAAGTTTACGAACTACATGGACTGCTCTTACGGTCCTACCGCGACCATCAACAGAAATTCTACAAGCGCAAATCGCGACTTATTTCCTCTGTCTCATTTATCTATACTCTGCTTCAGAAAATCAGAAGAGCGTCGAGTGCAGACCACACACCACAAGTGACGACGGCCTCCACAAAATGTAAATGTTTTCTGCCAATGAAATGATTAGCCTGTTGCAGTTGTATTCTATCAGTTGTCACTAATTACAACTCATTTACCAACTATCAGCTATCACTAGTTACAAGATTTACTTGGAGGCCGTCGTCACTTGTGGTGTGCGTTCTGCTCTCGACGCTCTTCTGGTTTTCTGAAGCAGAGGCTAAGCAATATGCGACAAAATCATCAGCCACTTCAAAAGAAATATTCCGTAGTGATCAACTATTGAAAGTTAACGAATGAATGGGTAGCAAATATTTATTCATGTGATACAATATGTCATGCAGATCTTCAATTAATATCCAATTGCAGACAAAACGAAATAAATATTGTGAGCACTTGTTGACTCAGAATGTTAAATTTAAAGGTACGATTGTGACGAGACCTTCATTTAAAACACCGTATAATGCAAAGTTTATTCGTCTTCTTCAGGCATTAATTACTCGAGCGAGCTTCTGAATGCGATTCAATAGAATATCACCATCCCTGAAAGCAAAATTATAAGAGCGTTGCAGCTTCATGTCTCAGTGTCCGACCGTATCGAATCCATAGAAATGTTGCCATCTCCACCCTGATGAATATGGTTTACAGGTGAGCGGAATTGTAGTAAGAGGTGGCGCTGTTTACACGCGCACGGTCCGGGGATCAAATCTGAGTTGCACACTGTACAGGCCAGCAAGCCTTTCACCTCTTCCGATTCGATTAATTGGTACCAGGCTTCAAAGCAAACACTCGTCCACCTCGACTGCGGAATTTTCTGCGCATGCACGAAAGAATGACGCAGTTATTTTCATTGAGGTTCTTAAACACACAAAATTCCCATTCAAAAGAAACACTGCAATCAAGCTTGAGCACTCTGTTTTAAATTTTTATGATTTCCATTTGTATCGCATTCGACAGGGGCTTAACGGCTACTTAAAATGTTTCCGCTATTGCGGATCGGTGCAGTTATTGAACATATCGCTACAAGAAGGTGCCAGCGAATCACGCGTTTCGATAGCGATTGGTCGCAAAGCTTGACACTGCCTGACTGTTTTTCTGGCGCCTCACTATATAACGTTAACCTTGATTTCACATGTGTTCCACAATCACAGCACAGCTTCTCTCCAGACTAACGCGGCAGGACAACTATGAAATCCACAACAATGGCGTTAACCACACATCTACGCAGAATTAGGCGTACAAAACCACTCACTTTATGACAGCTTTGTACAAGTAGTTTTTCGAATCAGGATGGTTCATCTCAATAACGCCGCGAACTGCATCAATTCTAGAAGAAGAAAAATGAGAACAGTAAGAGAATGATCTATGAAGAAGCATACCTGCAATGAAGTTGACCTGCTGCGATCAGTCGGTGAAGCTCTTTGTCAATAAAAGCACGAGAAACGCCGAAGTCTTTGGCCATCATGTCTATTCGCACCTGAAATTGGAGCCAATATAGAAGGACTGTAAATATAGTAGGACACAGAAGGAGTCGAATCGAATCGTAGAGATGACTGCTCTTCAATGAATAAGACATCTACACTCACAGTCTTATAAGGAGTCAAGAACTGTTCGTATGCGCGAAGACGCATACCACGTGAGTAGTAATTGAAATGAGGTGCAAGATAACGATCAAATTTGAACTGAAACATTTCATATTTGAAGGAGTTTAAAAAACATGCTGCCAAAAAACGTACTCGTTCGCTTTCTAACGCCGCTAGTTGGACGAAGAATCTATCATAGTGACATCCATAATAGGCTTCAAGATATTCTCGAACAGGGATCAGAGCGCCATTAGCTCCTCCTCCGGTTAGCTAAAATTAGAAGTAAGGAGCATCAAAATGAGTGGGCTTATAGACCACAAACCTGCTCCTGTATTTCATTACACTTGATGACCTTAGTTCGCAGATCTGGACGGTCAAGGGCTAAACAAATCTTTTAAAATAATCGGCGAAATAATACGACTCAGGTTCTAGACTAATCGTATACTCACCAAACAAAGAAGTCACAACTGTGTAGAAAACCAGGTTCTCGTATGTCATCAGTTCGTACGATCCAAATGTAGGTACTGCTTCTAGGAAGAGGTCAGCGGCTCCGGCAAAATCTCTTACAGACATCTTGTAGAGAGCTTCATAAGAGCGTAGCCTGTTTTTGCGTTCCCAATCGCCACCCTTGAAAAAAATGTATTAATGCAGAAAGATGTTGCTCCAAATCTAAACAAATAACACTACACACCTGTTCCATGAGCTCCTTGGCTTTAGTGATATGTTGGTTAATCAAGCTGTGGTCAAGGAAAAACAGGCCAACCCGAATCATATTGAAAACAAGATCGATACGGTAACCCATTCCAACCGACTTATCGTACGTAGACTAAACAATTCACAGGAAAATGACGCCGTCTAGTAATCGGAAAATAAAAAACTTCACAAGAATGCTACCTGTGAACAAAACTTTCGCTCCAGGCTGAACTCGAACACGCTTCTCTCATGTACCGGGAAAATGCGTAATTGGTAGCGCACTTGCTCGGTAAGCGAGGGTGAGGGTTCGAGTCCTGCCCAAGACGTAAGTTTTGTTCATAACCCAGCATTCGTGTGAAAATTAAAATTTATTCCTAAAACATTTTTACTCATTACCGTGAACGTTTTGATCACGTTCTCCTTGTCTCCAATCTGACAGTAATACTCGAACTTTCGTAGCCATGCCTGACGGACTTCGGTGCTACCTGTAACAATGAACAAACCTCACAACGTGTCCAAATAACCAAAGACTCAAGCTAGAAACCACCAAAACGACACCTAAGTTGTTCTCCGCGTCTTCTATTTCTGCCTCAATCTCTTTGATACGCTTGGTGTTGTTTTCCTTCATTGCTGCGAGCTGAGTTTTATCAACTGGGACACCAAGCTCATCGCAGATCATTTGATACAAAGGCGCCATGTCATGCTCCTTGATAGCCTTAAATCGTCATTAAATTGAGCTATCTAGGCGACACTGTAAAGTGCACTGAGCATTAATCGTTGGACTACTCACCTTTTGTAGCTGGTCTAGTTTTTGTTTCTTAATATCCTTATCGAGCTCCGGGTGATTGACAAGAAATCTAAGTTGAGCTAGTTCCATGTCAGGATGTTTAGAAATAACCTGAATTTCATA